AGTGTTTACACAAGCACACAATTTCAAATCTGCTGAGCTTGCTGTGCAAGAAAATGTAAAATATACGTATAAAGAAATATAACAGGAAGTACTGCTAAAACATAAACTAAATGTTAAATAATGTAGATATTGGTTTAAAAAATTCTTCAGATTTGGAAATTTGGAAGGAATACATAATTTTGAAATTAATCAACAAATCTGGTAAAAAAAAAACAACAAAAAGAAATAAAAAATAAAAGTTGCACTTTTTTACTTGAGGAATTTGTTGAATAACTTCATAATTATGAGTTTAACTAGTTGGTGGTAATGCTACACTTCTCTGCTTCCTGTCCTGCTCATAAAAGGTAAACATTATAAACCCACCATCCATTTTCTACATTATTTGGAAAACACAACACAAATGTAATATAACAAAAGTATGTTTAAAAACAAACATGTTAGCATCCAGCCATAGCCATGTCTGTTTTAGAGACTAGCTCTCTTCTGCTCCTCCATTAATGAGGGGACCCCACGGGCACGTAAAAAGTTGCCTAATTCCGTCATTTTCCACCAATGTGTCACTGGCCACCTCAAACAACTCACATCTTTGTCAGTGAAGCTGAGTGCTCCACATCTCTTCCTTCATGGTGACCATCTACATTAAGATCCAAAATTCTGAGATTAAAGTCAGAATTCTGAGAAAAAAAAGTCAGAATTCTGACCTTTTTCCCGTATTAAACTGAAATGAAATTTAAAAATCACTTAACTTTTTTTTTTTTTTCAGTGGCCCTAATCCTCTTCCGTAGTCTTGGGATGATCACTCATCCAATATTTAACTGCTAACTTTCTCTAGACGTTTGCTACGCTAGCCATAATGTTTTTTTTTTTTTATATATCTCATTTCAGTACAATGCCACCACCAACTAAAAGGCTGAAACAGCAGTAGGACTTACTCAGATTTTTTTAAAAAGAGAAACGTCAGTGTGAGTTACAGTCACCTAACACAACTTGTGTTGAAATTAGCCCGATCTGGGCGTGCGTTTAACGAGGATTTTTTAATTTTTTGCGTGGTTTTGATTCGCCGAAATTGACAGATGTTATACCTGCCGCGCTCCTGATCGTTAGTTAAAACCACAGGGAGAATTAATTTTAATTCTTAGCAGCGGCGGTCGCATTGGTTGTGCAGCAGTCCACTGCACAACCACTAATTAACCAACTAATTAACTTCTGCACCTTTATTTCCTCAAATAAACTGCTGGCTCCTCTTTTTAGACGATAAACAGATTAACACAACATTGACAACTCTGTAGTTTTCTCTGTTCTGTACTGCAAACTGGAATTAAAGGCGCCATTTCTACCAAAGGTCTTGACAGACTGGCGACCTGTCTAGGGTGTACCCCGCACCAGCACCTCCCGACCCCACTAAGGGACAGGGTGTACAGAAAATGGAAGGATAGATGGATTTCTACCAAAGGTTGATAATGCGTTTTTGAACCAGATGCTTCAAAAGGGTTGAAGCCCTTGAAAGACACCTCCCTTTGCTTAATAAAAGACTCCATTCATTTTGTTTGGTGATATGCTCACATCTTATGAACAAATGCATTATGTAAATTTTAAATGCATTATTTTTGCAAGACACATTTATAAAGGAATAAAGTAAAAGATTAAATAGCCTTTTTTTTAAGTAGCATACTTAAGATATGTTTCTGTTGAATACGAATCTCAGATTTCCGACATGTGTCCCCCCCAATAGTAAACATATTCCTACGCCCTTGGTTACAGCAGATCCCTGGAATTACATCTGACATCTTGGTCCACTTCTGAAGATTTTAAAAGGTTGGAACCTGTGTATGATTTATGGATAGATATTTAAGGCATGTGAACAATAAATACCAATAGATTTTTTTAGTTGCTTAAACTTATGTATAAGTCTGAAGAAAGATCTAGTTAGCAAAAGTTAAAACCTATTTCACTAATCTTGTAAGAGTGCGACCGGTTTACATGATTATTAAAGTAATAATAACAAATAAGATTTTACAATGTAACAAACAACCAAACACATTTACTTCATGAATTGCCAATATAATCATTTTTTATTCGTAAATGAGTTGTATTCTGTTTTGAGATGGTGAAGACAACTCAAGGCGTTTCTATTCTGTTATCAAGCAACCCTTTAACTATGTGTTTCAGATTGAAGTTAGCTTAAACTTAGGTTAAAGTGCAGCTGGATAAAGACAGTTAAGGTAAACCTAAAACTTTTTAGATGTTATTAAAGCAGGTTCTCTTTAGATCTACTCAGCTCATTCAATATATAATGGGAAACTGAGGCAGTCGCTATCAGGTAGTGTGATAATCCTTTTGAAATGGTTTGGCTTTTATAAAGTACAGCTTTAAGGGCTATAGTGTAAAAACAGAGTTATAGGTAAGGTCATTATATTATACTGTACATGGGATCTGGGGAAGTTGCTACTTTTATTGCATAGCTCAAAGCTCTTGGACCCACAGCTTTAGAGTACAGTAGCAGACAAACCTTTAATCAGGTACACGGCACTCTACCATACATGCATTTTTGCCATGTGTAAGAAAAGGAGCACTTATGCATGCAAAAGAGGCTGATGTTCACAGCTCTATTTCTCTCTCAGTATTAAACTTGACAAATAAGAAGTATCAAAAATGTATCAAACCTAAAAATAACATCATAAATGAGTAAAGCCAAGCAGGGCGGGGCATCGCAACACAGCCATGCAGCCTTAGTCTTCTTCTGTTTCAGCTCCTGAATATCATGACTCACTTTTCATTAGAATGTGTGCTCAAAGCACAGGATGGGAATACCTCTGCTGTTGTTTGGCCATGCAGTCAGTGTATAGAGTGTATATAGATGGAGTTTAGATGTACACACAGAGCAGGAGATCACGTTTCTTATCACCATAACACAATGGAAACAACACAGTGCATTCCAGCATGATGATGCTGAAAATTTGATTGCAGGATACATGTTGTTGTGCTTGTGTGTGCTAGTGGCAAAGTAGTTGTTAATTCTAGAAACAGTGTAAGGCAATTTACCCAAGAATATGCTTGTTTGAAGGGACTTATTGTTACTTGTGGAGACCAGTCAAATGTTCCCCATGAGGAGGGTTCTGGGTCAGATTTATGTTGGGTTCAGGGTAAGGTATATGTTTTAGTAATGGTTAGGGTAAGGGTCTGGGTTAGGACATACAAATAAAAGGGAATTGAATGGAAGTCAATGGAAACTCCCTGTAAGGATAGCGGGACATAGAGTGTGTGTGGTCTTGTTTTTATGACAGTGTGGGGACCTATGTCATTATTGGAAACAAAATCCTGATACTAAGGTAAGGGTTATTGCAAGGGTTCAGTTAGGCCATATAAAATGAATGCAAGTCATTGAAATATCCCCATAAGTCCCAAAAACAAGAATGTGTGTGTGTGTGTATATTGATGCATCAGTAATGTACATTTATTTACTTATAGTCATAAATTCTTCAGCAGTAGTTGAACACACTAAAGTGACTCATTGGCTTGTAGCGAGAGCAGCCAGCAATGAAGATGAATCTCTTAATCTAATGACTGATGTAGATTTAACCCTTTCAGTGTCTTCCTTTGAGCACATCAAGGAGGCAAAACATAATGACTTCCAACAGATAAAATCAATAACTCCAAAAAGCTCTCCTTATTGTTGTTACAAAAGGGGTATATTTTTTATAAGTCAAACAGTGATGCATAGATGACTAGCAGAGGGCATTACAGCTCTATTGAAGTGTTCATGGTGTGCAATAACCAATTTCTATCAATCGTCCAATGTAGCAACAGGGGTTAATCAGTGAAGAGGGATCAATGGTCAAACGGGAGTCAGTGGAGGCTTCCCTATTTGGTCCAAAATAATAGGCTCTTTTAAGCTGAATTTCTTGCAGGTACGATATGCAGCTCATATCACTGAGGTTAATGCCTGTTCTGATAAAAAAGAACAACAATCCCAAAGAGCACTGACATCCAGACAGGTACGCTGATCTTCAAAAGAACAAACCATCATACACCAAATAGTGGAGCAGTGGAAGACGGTGTGCTCATTTTCATCACACGGATGCCTTGTTGTGTCTGTGTGGGTGTGTGTTTCTATGTGTAATGAACATAATTCAACAGGACAGCTGATGAAGTCAGGGAGTTAGCAAACGCAGTGTGATGCTTTGGACCAACCTTGGTCTCTGCCATTTATATGGATGGAGAACATCCTAAGTAGAAACACCTAGCCCAATATTCTCAACATCCAAAAGCAGCTTCTGAAATCCTTGGCAGCTCTATTAAAACTATTAATATATTTTTAATTATCTCTCAATTTTTTGAAATTTATTTTCAAGTTGACTTGTGACAAAAACACATGGACTCCATCTGCTGTTTTATAATATATAGCTGCTGCTTGATAAGATAGATGTTACCGGGTAACTAAGGTCATTTATTGTTTATTTATTGAGTCAGATATTGCCTAGATGCACCTGAACCTGTTAAGATATAAAATGCATTGCGATATATGTTACTTATAAACACAATTGTCTTATTTGTCAGATGTTGTGAGTAAAATAATTCAAATTGTTGGTTGCCCCTTGGAGCCTCTTAGATTGCATAAACTTATGAATGAATGGCAGCTCTCACATGCTCTCCAAAAGCTGCAGCAGCTACTTAAGAAAGTGCGCGTAATTGATTTATTGTCAGTCTGTAAAAGGCTTTAGATAATTTTTTTTCTCGTTTTCTGCAGAGAATTAGAAAATAAATCTTATGATTGGCACCTAATAATAATGCATAACATATGATCAGCAGAACAAGCTTATGGGGACCTTAAATCTAAGCTCTTTTCTCATATTATTATTGTTTATTCTATTCTATTTTTGGAGCTACCCCCTTGCCGACGTGCACTCGGATAACATAACACATTTTCGGCTATTGTCGGTACTTTATGCCTAATTGTTAGTGGGTCTAGCTGGCTTTATAGCAAGGGTTAAAAACCTTACCGAGTGGCGGCTGTTCCTGTCCTATAATCCCCTCCTGAGCGCAGGGCGCGCCGTCCGTCCCCACAGTCTCTGCTAACCGTGAAGAACTTGGTGAAGTGCAGCAAACCAGCCGCACCTTCCTCTGGCTGCTCAGAGGCCAATTAATCCCAACCACCTGGGGGTTTCAGAGCGCCGCATCCTCCGCCAGACATCAGGAGGAGCGTCGGCTGTGATGGATAGGTCCCGGAGCAGGTGATGCGGAGTGACTGGATGAAGTGCTTAAGCGTTGGTAATCTTCTCAATCAACAATCCTATCCCTCCCTCTCTCTCTGACTCCCTCTCTGCCTCTCTCTAGCTCTCTGTGTCTCTCTCATATACAGTCCCAGTGAAAGTTTAAAATAACGCATCACAGGCACCAAACAAATAGCGCACACGGTTGTTTACACACCTGCACTTGAGTAGATTATATCCAGTTTACAGGGCTGGAGAGGGCTTTTTAACAGCAGCCACTGTGCTACAGATGAGGACAAAGGAAATATATCTTGCCTTAATACACTACTAAAAAAATAAAATAAAATAAAGGAACAATTTGTAATCAGAGTATAGCATCAAGTTAATTAAACTTCTGGGATATTGATTTGGTCAGGTAAGTGTCAGAGGGGGTTGTTAATCAGTTTCAGCTGCTTTGGTGTTAAAGAAATTAACAACAGGTGCACTAGAGGGGCAACAACGAGATGACCATTAAAACAGGAATGGTTTTACAGGTGGAGGACACTGACATTTCTTCCCCTCCTCATCTTTTTTGGCTCTTTTTTTTTCACCAGTTTTGCATTTGGCTAGGGTCACTGTCACTACTCTTAGCATGAGGTGCTACCTGGACCCTACAGAGGTTGCACAGGCAGTCCAAATCCTCCATGATGGCACATCAATACGTTCCATTGCCAGAAGGTTTGCTGTGTCTCCCAGCACAATCTCAAGAGTATGGAGGAGATTCCAGGAGATAGACAGTTACTCCAGAAGGCCTTCAACCCATCAGCAGAACTGGCATCTGCTCCTCTGTGCAACGAGGAGCAGAAGGATCACTGCCAGAGACCCTACATAATGACCTCCAGCAGGCCACTGGTGTGAATGTCTCTGACCAAACAATCAGAAACAGACTTCACGAGGGTAGCCTGAGGGCCAGATGTCCTCCAGTGGGCCCTGTGCTCACTGCCCGGCTCGATTGGCATTTGCCACAGAACACCGGATTTTGCAAGTCCGCCACTGGCGCCGTATGCTTTTCACAGATGAGAGCAGGTTCACCCTGAGCACATGTGACATACCTGAAGGGGTCTGTAGAAGCCGTGGAGAACGTTGTATTTCATGTAACATTGTTCAGAATGACCGGTTTGGTGGTGGGTCAGTGATGGTCTGGGGAGGCATATCCATGGAGGGACGCACAGATCTATACAGGCTAGACAACGGCACCCTGACTGCCATTAGGTATTGGGATGAAATCCTTGAACCCATTGTCAGACCCTATGCTGTTGCAGTGGATCCTGGGTTCCTCCTGGTGCACGAAAATGCCTGCCTCATGTGGCGAGAGTATGCAGGCAGTTCCTGGAGGATGAAGGAATTGATACCATTGATTGACCCCCACGCTCGCCTGACCTAAATCCCATAGAACACCTCTGGGACATTATGTTTCGATTTATCCGACGCCGCCAGGTTGCACCTCAGACTGTCCAGGAGCTCAGTGATGCCCTGGTCCAGATCTGGGAGGAGATACCCCAGGACGCCATCTGTCGTCTCATTAGGAGCATGCCCCAACATTGTCAGGCTTGTATACATGCACATGGGGGCCATACAAATTACTGAATACCATTTTGAGTTGCTGCAATGAAATTTAAGCAAAACGGACTAGCCTGCCACATCTTTTTTTTTTCACTGTAATTTTTGGGGCGTCTTCAGCCCTCTGTAGGTTGATAATTTTGTTCCTAACACATCACCCAGTCCATATCAGTATAAATAAACAGCATGATATTTTCCCCATTGAGATCTGATGTGTTTTCAAAGTGTTCCATTAATTTTTTTGAGCAGTGTATTAATTATTTAGTAGTTTATTCAAAGTAATCTGATCAGGTCACAGAAAATAAGGGAATGCTACAAAATAGGCTACTGTGAGTATAAATTGATGGATGTTTCCCCCTGCTGGCATCATTGCTTTACTACCACTCCTATGAAACTACAGATGGTGGCTCATTTGCTCAAGATGAAATCCAAAGTTTGAGGGATTTTGGTAACCCTCAATAGATTTTGTGGAGCAAGCAAACAAACAAAAAAAAAACACAAGAACAAAAACAAATGTAGTGGACAAATTGTGTTTGAATTAAACTATCCTGGAACATGCCAGAATTGTCAGGGTTTGGTTGAGGTTTGAGGACCCAACTGCAGAGGCTAAGAGGTTGGAGATGAGTTTTTGCAGTTTTTAATGAATCAACACAGGTAAAAGAGGCAGGTATCCAAAATCCAACTTAACATGCAAAACTTAACCAGAACCATAGAGACATGAGGGGAAAAGAGCAAGTAGAGTCAGGGAAAGGCGAAGAGAGATGAGGAACCAGCAATGAGGAACTGCACAGGGAGAGTATTTATGGGAGACTGAACAAAGAGAGGACTAACAAGCAGATTGGGAGCAGGTGTGAAGAGAGCAGGCTAGGAAGGAGCTAGGGAAAAGGAGACCAACACAAGTGGGCAAAAAATTTAAAACCTAAGAACTCAAATATATCCAGAAAATACAACAAAATAGGAATTAAACCAATAAAACTAGAACACATGGAGCAAAGTAAAACATAACAGAACCAAGACTGTGCCAAGAATGATATATGTACTTCTAAACTGAATTCACAATTCATCATCCTTGCAAAGTAATAAATTACTAGATTTCCCCAATTATAAACAGTATTAAATTTGCAGCAACTTGTAATTATTAACAATCAGAATTGATTTATACATTTTTTGCTGGAAATTCTTTTCTTTCAGTGCAACCATTTACAGTAGAGTGAAAAATAAAATTATAATTATAATAGAGCAAAATAAAACAAAGTATAATAAGACAAAATAGAATAAGTAAAAATTGTAAAAAATTACAACCCACACAGTAAAATTAAACCCTTCCCATTTAAACAGTGTAAAATAAGATATAAGAATAAAACAAGATAAGATCATATTTATATACAATCTACAGTATTTACAATGTACAGTGCTGGAGGTTTCTTCCTGTTCAAAGGGAGTTTTTACTCTCCACTGTCGCTACAAGCATGCTTAGTGTGAGGGATTGTATTTGAGTCAATGAGTCAATGCATTCAACTGGTTTTCCTTAGATAGAAAACTTTGAATCAATTTGACTGTATGATCTGGTTGAACTGTAAAGTGCCTCGAAATGACGTGTCGTGAATTTGGCGCTATATAAATAAACTGAATTGAATTTCATTTAATTGAATTGCTCAGTATCAAATTACAAGTATTGCACATGACTGTGTTATTGGGGATAGGGAAGTAATTCAATAAAGAAATATTAAGTAATGAGATTAAAGGGCTGTCGACCACAGCGTGTTAGCCCGCCTAGCTCGGTCGGCTAGCACCACCACCAGCTGCGACAACAACGCACTCAACTTTGCTCTGCTCAACATCCGTTCACTGACAAGCAAGGGACATCTCATTCAGGATCTCATCACTGACCGTAAACTGGACTTTCTCTGCTTAACCGAGACCTGGCAACAGCTCCAAGATTACTCTCAGCCGAAGGATTCCACTCCTAGTGGGTTTGTTTACATCTCTCAACCCCGTGGTTCCGGTCGCGGAGGAGGTCTCGCGATAATTCATCGCGAGAATTGGAAAGTCTCGCCGGTATCAGCTCCAGTTTCAAGCACGTTTGAATCCACAGTCTGCAAGCTATCTGGTCCAACTCCAACCATCATTGCTGCTGTCTACCGCCCCCCAAAACCGAAAAGTGCCTTTTTAACTGAGTTTGCTGATTTCTCACCCACCTATCCTCTCTCTCACCAAACTTAATTCTGCTGGGTGATTTCAATATCCACATGGACAACACCAATTCGCCTCTCACCAAAGACTTTACTTCCTGCCTAGAGAGTTTTGGATGTCAGCAATACACCACTACCCCCACACACACCAAAGGACATATTCTGGATTTAATCTGTTGCTCTGGTGTCATCCCCCACAACATAACATCTGATGAACTCCCCATAAGTGACCATTTTCTCCTCTCATTTGCAGTTAATCTTACTCTCTCAGTCTCTAAAACATCCCGCCTCATATCCTTCCGGAACATAAAGAAAATTGATCCCTCCACCCTAATTTCAAGTATCCACTCATCCTGCCTCCTTGACTTAAATAATCTGCTAACCCCTGATGATCTGGTTTTTCACTACAACACTGGTCTCCATAATATTCTTGACTCACTTGCTCCTCTAAAAAAATAGATTTGTTTCTTTCTCCGTCTCCTCCCCCTGGTACACCCCAAATCTCAGAAGCATGAAAACCAAAGGACGGCAACTTGAAAGACTTTACAGAAAAACTGGTCTTACTATACACAAAGAAATGTACAATAATCACATTATGCACTATAAGGACTCCATTGCCAGCACCAAATCACAGTACTACTCCAACTTAATCACTGCCAATCAACAGAGCTCTAAGTCCCTTTTCTCTATACTTAACAATACCATCAAACCCCAGGACCCTTTCCCCCTGCACCTTTACACAACCTCCTTCTGCAATGACATCATGTCATACTTCACAGAAAAAATCAAGAACATTCACCAGAACCTTGGATCAACGGCTCATCTCAACAACTCAGCAGATCTCCCCCCGCCTACACATTTATTCTCCTCCTTCCATCCTCCCACTGTCTCGGAAATCACAGAGCTCATCCGGAAATCCAAATCATCCACCTGTCAACTGGACCCCCTCCCAACACAACTTGTCAAAACCTGCCTTCCCTCTCTGGCTCCCCTAATCTCCGCTATCATCCACTCCTCCCTCACCACTGGAACTGTCCCTACACCTCTCAAAACTGCTGTCATCACCCCGATTGTAAAAAAACCTGGTGCCGACCCCACCAACTTCAACAACCTCCGTCCTATCTCCAATTTACCCTTCATCTCCAAAATTCTTGAAAAAACAGTTCATTCAACTGAAGACCCTCAAATCCACCCCCTCCCCCGTCACCTCAGGTGTGCCCCAGGGCTCTGTTCTGGGGCCCCTGCTTCATCATCTACCTCCTTCCCCTTGGCAATATCTTCCGTAAATTCAACATCCACTTCCATTGCTATGC